TTTTACATCAACATTAACTCAAGCTGGAAATAATTATGTTACATCGGAAATGAAGGTATACTCTATGTGATGTCTGTGAATCATTCAATGTACGCATGTTCTGATTCTAAACTTCTTTTATCAGATCGATAAAATTAATGAACTCATAGGACCACCCTCTGGTCGGCCGTTAATTTTTAATCGAGGAGCCGGTGGTCAGAACCCATTTGGTCCGACTGAATTAAGTGGATATGATGGTGCTGTTTTCGAGGTTCGTATTAAGCGGAATTTTGTTTTATGGTTTTATGTATTCTATTTATTCAAATATTCTTACATGTTATATGTACATAAGGTAATGAAAAATGGACACGTGGCTACTATCACTCTGTTCTAAGAATGATATCATTTTAAAAGTGTTATATGTTTGATTCAATTTGTTCTCTTGATGTACTATAATGGAGTTTTTTTAATATTTTTGAGATAATTTGTAACGATAAGTTATTTAGTTATTAAATAGTTTGAGTTAAATATACATTTAGAAAAGAATAGTGATAGAGTTAAATATTAAAACAATTACGTTTAATGTAATGGAGTTTACTTAATAGGCCGCCTAATTATTGGATAATATTATTTAAGAAAATTGTGACAGAAATTTTTTTATTTAGAGGTTATTCACATTAAATGATATTTTTAAATGTTACGTTGAATGTAAAATTTCAACGAAACACATGATGAAAATAATATAACTTTTTTGCACGATTCGAATTTTATAATAGTAATGCGAGAAATGAAGTAATAAAGAAATAAGGAAATTCTCGTGAAAATCGAGATCTAAGTTTTTTAAATAGTACTATAAAATGTACGTTAAATTTTTTTAAAACCGCTACAATATATCGATATATTACCAATAACTATTTACAGGACTTTAATTTAACTGCATTGGTATATGTAAAGGATTACCGGGTCCAAATCCTTTAGCATCTTTAAATTTAAACTCAGAATCCCCGAAATTAACTTCCAATTCGCAAGATCCATCAGTGCCAATAGATGGGTACCAAGTGTGATGTACTCCTCCGAATGCTACACCCAAGTTTTCTCCATTTTTTGTGAAAAATACTTCTCCAGTGCCGGGTTTATATCCACATCCAATTGTATCACCTTTACCCCATCTTGGACCGTATTCTTCTCCTCCATGAGGATCGCTACGGAATTTTCGACCGTCATCGGAATGGTATGCAACCGAGTTTTCATGATATCCAGGAAGTCTAGAAATGTTGAAATTTAGTATCTTACGTGGTATTTCTAAAAAAAAAAAAAAAAAAAAAAAACGCGTTGTATATATGCTACCTAAAGTATGGATAAGGTGTTGTAGTCAAACCGATTGCTATAGTGTTCACTTGCTTCGTCACTTTTTTTACAGTAACTTCAAAATAATGCATTATTTCTTCATATTCTACATCTCCACAAGTAAAAAATGGATAATTCGTTTGTATCGAAGATTCTTTATTTTTTTCAGTACTTTTAAAAAAGAATTCCACCCATCTTCCATTATTTGTAACTTCACTATGTCCACCGTGAACAAACATCCAAGCAGAATAACCTTTTGTACCTAAAATATTATTTTGTATTTTTTCGGAGCTTGGTAAATCATCACTGGGAAGATGTGTTTTAATATATTCTATAGCCCGTTTATAAGAATCAGCAGTAACATCACTCTTTTTAGGTTTACCATCTTCTATCCAAGTTGATAACCTTCTTCTCGGTCTCCGTCTAAATGCAACAGGAACACAGAGGTAGAGCACTAGCATTAAAGCTATTACTACTACACCACCAAAAACTAACCACAATTTCATACATGACACATCACAATCACCAATGACATAAGTTGTTGTGTTTGAGGAGTTAGAAGTAGGGGTAGAGGTGGTATCATCATAATAGAGGAATGGACTATCATCGGTTTTGCTATCAGAATAGGAATAGCTGAATGAATCTTCCGGTTCGTCACCTGGAACAGCAGATACCATGTTAATAGGGTCACTTGAAAGATTATCGTCAATAGATATTACAAATGATTGAAGTAAAATGGTAAAGATTATAATAAGCAAAATATTTAATAACAAGATACGAGAATTATGATACTTCAAAATAAATTGATAACATGAATTCATAATTTATTTTTTTTTATTAACAAAAAAAAAAAAATAAAAAAATGGTAATATTTTGTTTCTAAAGTTGTGGAATTCGATTCATTGATACCCAAGTTCTCTTGTTTTAATGTAAATTACGTTTGAATTCAAATGAATGAATGATAATTAGAAGTGTAAAAAAAAAACTTCCTTTTTTTTCTCGTTTCTCACAACAATAAATAATAGTGGCTGAGTCGACCGGCAACTACTATTCTCACTTTGCCTCATTTAAAAGAAAACCAGGACTCATAGAAACTATTAAATAACAATAAAACCTGGTTTAACCTCCATATTTACCAAAATCAAGTTACTATTAATGATACTAAATAACATCATGTGTTAACTTTGTAATCCAATTCCAAATTATGTAATAATAAAATGCAATTATTTAAATACGAATATATTTCGCGAAAGTCGCGATATTGTTTAGAGGCTTTGGCACCGCCAACAAAATAATAAACAAGTCGATAGAAAGCGCAGTTACCGAGCGTGTTAATTGTTTTTTCACTTTTTTTCATGTTTTACCACAAAATAAAAGATTTGAAAGTGTCCATGAAACGCATCAAAAGGATTCCTTGCTTATTCGGTGTACTGTCTCGATTTTATTAATTCGGTAATATCTGTAGTCGTAAGCTGATTTCAGATCATAAAAAAATTTAAGTGGTGACAGAGCTTTATGTAACTAAATAATTACGAAATAATAAATGCCTTTTCAGCTATATTTACTCAATCTAAAATATCAATACAATAACATCTTTTATTTCGAGTTTTGATAAATAAATATATATATTTAAAGAGAAATCTCAACATAAAACCTTTATTTCACGGCGGTACAGAGCACTTTACTCCGTTATTTATTTTGCAGAGTTTTTAACGCTACCTACAATATAAACGAACTAATGCTCTTGAATATGATGAAGACTTGAAAATATCGTAGGCACTGTACATAAACGTTCAAATTGATTATATGGAAATATGTGTCATCTACATAATACCAAATATGCTTATAAAAATAATTTATTATATATTATATATAATTATTTAAAATCGTTTCTTATGTATAGTTTCAAAGATAGCAGTGGAAACTCACGTGGTGCATTTTTTTTTGCTTTCCAAAGTTAGAAATAATACTCTTGGTAGACATGATACGTTTTATATACACATATTCAAAAAATAATTCAATTTAAATAGATCCAAATGTGTTTAAAATCCATTCAATGCATTATTTTTCATGGAAATTACTATTTAAGCATTAGATGAAATAAAGATTTATTTTATTATACAGTATATTTTTCAAATAAATAATCCGTTTTTTACAAATAAACAAAACCAAATTTTTACATAAACCAATTTTTTACATTAATCCTCATAAAATGTAAAAAGAATGCGCATGTCCACTCCTTGTTTCTCTAGCTCTTTCTTTAGTTCCAATTCTTGAGGTTGCCACTGTTTTGGTATAGCTCTTCTACTAAGAAATAATCTTTTTAAACTCTTGACTCTAATGGCAAACTCGCATATGACAGAAATATATTGATCAAAAACATAGTTAAAACTTATGGGATAAATACTAATAGAATCTAAAGGAACCGTACAAAGTTCAAAAAATTTACTAAATTCATCTATCGAAACTAAATTCCCATGATACTTAAAATGTTGAAGAGATTTAGGTAATTTCTCAGCCAATTCAGGAATACGTGAACAGGAAATAGCATCAATAATAACTAATGTATGCAAATTTTGTAGACCACTAATCCAAGTACCAAATGATGGAATATGCATCGAACTTTCGATATAGATGATCATTTTTTTAATATTTGGGCAATGTTTATGAGCTTTTCGAATAATTTCTGATGAGAAATTATCATAAAGAGTTATGGATTGTAAATATTGACCTGCTTTTTCGAAAATTGCTAGATCTACCTTAAAGAACCAAGAATTGTGGCGTAAAATAAGTTTATTTAAGCGGAATGATGCTCTGGATATGATTTCGCAATGTTTAGGCTCTAATCCAGCGCAATAAGATAGACTAAGAGTCTTAAGATTATGGAGTCCACCTATAATCTGAATTGAAGTCTTGTTAAAATGAACATGTGAAGCAAAAAAAGAAGTTAGAGTTGTAGATTGAGTATCTCTCAAAGATGATAGAATTGTCAAGTTCGAACGTAACGACATTTGAGAGATATTAAAAGTCTCAAGTCCATTTTGTGTTTTAATAAGATTTACTAGTAAATCAGAGTATAAAGGGCTATTCCATAAGATATGTTTAAGTCTTGTAGAAAGTAATGGCAATCGTCGAAGTAATTCAATACTGTTCTTATATACTTTTTCTTTAAATTCTCCTGAAAGTATGTTAAAATTAAAATCTTTCAAGTTATAAATCGCTTTTCTAGAATAAATATCTGGAATATCTCCTTCTCCATGCTCTAACTTTAGATCGATGCTTGTTATTCTGCGACACCTACGCATCAACATTCGCCAAATTACTGTCTTTACACTGTTCATTAAATGATCCCAAGATTCAATTCTTTTATACCATGTTCCGCTTTCAATTTTATATCCTTCTTTACTTAACCATGATTTTATAGATCTGTTTATATCAGAAAGCTTAATTACTTCCAAGAACATTCCATATTCAAACAAAGGAGATGGTTTATTGGCTGGAAGATTAATTCGAAATGGAATTAAAGTTTTTAATTCATCGTAATTGAGACATGAGAGATAAGTGCGAATGACTCGTGCATCTATGCGAGGTCTTCGCCATAGAATAGGTATAATACATCTGCACCAAAACCGATTTACAAAAAGATACTTGTAAAGAATAAATTTGGTACCATAGTCATCGCTATCAAGAAAGGTTATTATTAAATATTGCACTTCATTGGGAAGAGGGATAGTAGGCATTTTTTTTTTTCAATATTATATGCTTAAAAAATTTTGGTTATTTATATGTCTGTCAGTTGTTTAATCCCTTTTTATGTAATTTATAATACCTTGCCCGCATGATCTTTGAATATTACACACATTATGCTGTTATGTCGGGTTATTATTATTTAGTATTTGAATCTAATTGGCTAGATCAGATATACACCATGTATATACACATTTATAGCAAATTTTCTATGGTTATGATTTCTTAAAGGGTCATAGCCTGATCAAGTAAATCAATCAGGTGGTGAAGCCTCCACAGTAAACTAACATCACCTTTTTAAACAATCGATTTTTTAAACAGTTTAAAGTACTTTGAAAATCCAGATTTGGAAATTATTACATATTACCACTACGGTTATCGATATATCAATATGATTAAAAATGACGCATTATACGGAGAAACTTTAAACAGATCAATACATTAAAAGAATACATTTTCCATGTGAGGAAACATTTCAACGATCAATGCAGTCTTGATTCGATCAGCGGAAAGGCAAAAAATAAGATGATAAATTCTAAATTACTAGATCAAATATCTCCCGATATGTGATATTGAGAGTGAATA